CCTCCCTCTCTGGAAAGGAGAAATAAGTTGTCTTTCCTGAGGATTGTGGGTTGGGAAATGGAGCTTTAGAATGTTGGCTTTCTTTCTTGTGGTAATAATAACCCCGGAGCTTTTAAGCCTGCAATTCAGTTTTTGAAGTTGACTCTACAGACAATTTTCTCTGGCCCTAGTGAAATAAATACTGTAAAATACAACGTCCCTCTCCCTGGCTAACAGAGAAACACAATATGTTTTTCAGTGACTGGTAAGCCCTAGCAAGGACAAATAAAACGTAACCATTTGGAGCCCATTAAATATTGTTAAAAGATACTGAACCATAACATCCTGAACTACAGAGTGTTTCCTGGTCAGTTTATGAGCTGTTTATTGAGCACTTACTGTTTGCAGGGCCCCCGAGCTCAGCTCCAGGGGACTCCAGGAACCCCTAAGACTGGTCACTATAGTTCCCTGTCCAGTCGCTCTGAAATCTGGCTGAGCCAAGTCAGTGGTGCAGAGGCCTGGAAGAAATGGAGTGACACTTGAGCTGTCTGGGGCCTTTGGAGACGTTTGCTCCTCTGGTCTCTGGTTAAGCGAGTCTGCTCGTAACTGAGCAGTTGTGCCTTTGAACACCGTCATGGACAGAAATCTCTGACATGTGTAACATTTCAGCTTCATCAGTGTTTATCTTTTTTGGTGGTAGTACAGGGTCATTCTTGGGAACATTAATTTTTAGATTGGCCTGCAATACGCGGTTGCCTTTGGCTCCTTTTTAGAATGTTCTAGTCCCTTTTTAAACTCTCCCAGGCTGCTACACTTTTGGAATTCTCGATGTTGCTTTTTAGAGCTCTTCTGTCCCCTTCGGAGGTTGCCAGCTTTTATGTTCCTGGCTGCCAGTTTGTCTGCGGGGTGGCCAGCAGCAGCCCCGCTCCCTTCTGATTCGCTTTGTCCTTGGGAACTGGAACACAAAGTTTGCTGGAATTTACATAAATGGAGAATTGATAGATCCCGGAGGAAAGGATGACTTGAGGGCATCTTCCTTGGGGAAGCTCCGGGCTCTTTCAAGGCCTGAGCACTGCGCTGTGTGAAGGGGCAGCTCCGGGGCCTTTTTCCTGGTTTGCTGCAGGGTTTGGGATATGCTCCTTTATCATCTGCTCCCGTCTCTCTGCCCCACACAGGGTGGGGGAGTAACCACTGTGTTTTAGGAGGAGTCACTGACAAGGAGGAATCTTCAAGGTGGCTGTTTACACGTGGGCACCTGTGCCTTCTGAACAACTGCGCTGCTGAGTGTGAAACAGGCGTTTGTGGATCAGAGAGAGTTTTGTGATGGGAAAGTGAAAAATAAGGAAACCCATTCAGACATCTCTGCCAGACCTAGATTCTTGTTTTAGTGAAGGTCCTTCAAGTACTGAGAAGTTCTGAAAATAAGTGAACACCTGTATTCCCCAACACCCCATTCGAAAACACTTATTACCATGTTGCCTTATGTGCTTCAGATTTTAAAAATCACCAAACACACCTAGAAGTCTCCTGTGTACCCCTCTTGGAACTTCCCTTTACTCCAGAGGCAGCCGCTCTCCTGAAATTGGGATTGTTTGTTCCCAGGCAAGGTTTTATTCTTTCAGTATATACATATCCCTTGGTGATAAGTAGCATTCTTTTGCATGGATAATATCATATAAATAGTACTTGCTTTTCTCACTCACTATTGTATTTGTGAAATGTATTCATCTTGACACCAGTGCATTCATTTTCCACTGCTGAACAGCAGTGAATGACACACTACAGCCTGCGGGCCAAACTTGACCCACCACCAGCTTTTGTACATCAAGTTTTATTGGCCATGCCCTGTATTTACCGTGTGTGGCTGTGTTGGGCTGAGCTGAGTCCTTACAACAGAGACCAAGAACAAATGGCTACCGAAACCTAAAATATTTATTGTCTGGCCCTTTACAGAAAAAGCCAGCCCATCCTGGCTGTGGAGTATTCCACTGTTCCAGTAGAACACATTGTATCTATTGTCCTTATAGGTAAACATGTGGATCACTTAGCATTTTTTTAATTTTACAAATAGAGGCTTCAGTAGATATATTTTGTTTGTTTGGGAGTCTCTCTCCAGCTGTGGTCTCCAACCCTCAGGACCAGTACTGGTCCAAGGGCCACTAAGAGCCTGGGCTGCACAGCAGGAGGGGAGCCAAGGGAGCTAAGGAAGCTTCCTCTGCATTTGCAGCTGCCCCCCCTGACTCAACTCACTGCCTGAGCTCCAGTGACAGCACTGGATTCTCATAGTTGTGTGAACCCTTCTGTGAACTGCATATGTGAATGATCTAGGTTGCATGCTCCTTATGAGAACCTAATGCCTAGGTATTCTGCGATGTAATATATTTGAATTCATCCTCAAAACCATTCTCCCCTTCCACCCACCCCCACTTGGTAGAAAAGTTGTCTCCTGTGAAACGTGGTCTCTGGTGCTAAGAAGGTTGGGGACTGGTGCTCTAGAGAATTTAGCTGGCTTCACTAGATATTGCTAAATTGGCCTCCAGGGTGGAGCTACCGATTTTCACTCCCTCTTGTAGTTTATATTTTCTCAACTTTCATCTCCTTGCTGGTAACCTGGTATTTTAAGACCTTAGGTTTGGCAGTTCTGATGCGTGTATGACGGCATCTCATTTCCTGTGACAGTACTTACTTCTCAAGCTTTTACTGACCATTTGCCTTTCCCGTTATGTGAATTGCCAAGTTATATCCTTTCCCTGTTCTTGTATTGAGTTGTTTTATTCTTTTTGATTTGTGAGAGCTCTTTACATATTCTGGCTACTAGTCCTTTTGATTGGATCTATTAAAACCAGCCTGTGACTTGATTTTTAAACATACATATGTACATATGCACACACACATATATACACATATGTGACTTTCTTTCCTAGTGAAAGTTTGTGAGGTTAAAAGATTCCTAAACTGAAGGAAAAGTAAGGGGAGATGACAGCAAGGATGCTTCAGCGTGGCTTTTCCCACCATGGACATTTGTAGAAGCTACAACTGTCCCATCTTGGAGCGATTAGAATGCGTTTCTGAGGCTGTCCATTGGAGTGAGCTGATTGTTACTGACACTTTGGCTGTCTAGATGTGACCAACAAAGTCTCAGGGAAGTTGAAGGCCACCGTGGTGGGGTGTGATAGGCACAAGGGTTTGGAAGGCTGCCTTGGATGAAAACCAGACATGTTTTGTGGTTTGGGGTTTCCCTGTCTTTGTTTTGGCTGAAGTCAGACCTCGCTTTCAGCTTGGTCAAGTTGAGCCATTCTCTGACCCACAGCGATTTCAATTCAGACTTCCACTTTTCCGTTTTCAGACCAGACTACTTTTGTTTGACTTCCCACTGACCCGTCATTCTGAAATCTGAGAATACTGGCTTCCCCCATCCTTCTACCTTCTCTGTCCTTTCACGAATTTTCTGAGTTTAATAACTAAGGAAAAAAAAAGAACCTGCAGTTCTTGGGGTTTCCACGGCCCTGTGAAGTTTACCCAGTCCTTGTAGCCATGATCTCTGTATTAATAACAGCTCAGTGAAGTGTGCAGACAAGATAGATTATCACTGTCACCTCCCAGTGGAGGGCCACAGGGCCCCGCTCCCACAGCTGCACTGCAGTCTTCTGTGCTGGGCCTGGTGTCTGCCCTGAGGTGTCCCCATTGCGTACAGTACAGGAACAATGTTAGGTCATCACCCGAGAACCAGAATGACTCCTCTTCATTGTTGTCACTGTCGCTCCTGGCAGGAGGGCCACACCCTATGGGATCAAGACAGACATAACTAGGGGAACAAGTGTAACATTTCCCTGAGCCTGTGCTGCGTGCCAGACTCGGCACTGAACGTCTCACGGATCTATCACGGATCTTGCTGGATGCTCCAGTTAGTGCCGGAAGGAGCTGGGTCGGCTCCCCGGGCCTGCAGCTGGTGCAGTCGGACATGGTCAGGGGTTTGCTCCCGAGGGCGCCACACTTGGGTTTTATGCTCTGCTCTTGTCTTGGATTTTTAAATGGCTTTTGAACAGTGGCGCCCACATTCTCAGTTCACACTGGACCTTGTAAATTTTGTAGCCAGCCCTCTGCACAGAGAAAGCAACCAAGATTAGAGAAGCGAATTAATGTGCCAGGATTACACGGTTAATAAGTAGCAGAGCTAGGATTGGAGTATTTTCTACTTGGCTGATTCATTTATTGAAAACAGAGCCCTGGAATGAGACTCATTCAATTGTGTTGCCAGGTAAATTGTACTGTAGAAATACCGGTTTTTCCAGTGGCGTTTAAGTGATTCTGTGTCGGCCTTGCACTGACCAGTTGCCACCCTTTTCCTTAGGAGGAGGGCTCAGATTGTCATGTCTTTTGAGGTCCTTAAAAGTACCTAAAACAGGGACCCTCCTGGAGGAAATGGTCACTGACGAACTGGATTAATGACCTTTTTTGGTTGCAAAGAAGAAATTGAGACTACTGAGTTCCCCTTAGTGAGTGGGAAAGAATAGCTGTAGTCAGGGAACCAGAAGGCTCCTAGAAGGATCTGATTGGGTCAGATCATGTCATTACTTCCTCAGGGCTAGAGGGTCACAGGTCCCAAGTCACCTACTCCCTCAGGCTTTGTTTTTCTCACTGTGTCTTCTGGACTACCAGCCAGGCACTGTTGCCTCCTCTAGGAAATGTCCATGAAATGCAGGTTTTGCTCCAGACCCATCAAGAGTCATACCAGCTGGCCTGTGGGTTGACCACTAAGGGTGAGGCATTGACCTCTGGCCATGTTGTTTGTACATACAAGGCCCTAGCACGGTGACTTGGGAGGGGGGCAGCTTTCAGAAAGAGGCAGAGCGGGTCTTACCCCGTCCGGGTTGGGCTGGGCCGTCTCCCAGGACAGGCTTTGAGTCTGCCATCCTAGAAAACGAGCTCCCTGCTTCCCGAGCAGGCTGCTCTCCCGGCTGGCAGAAGTGCGAGGGCATGTTCGGGCCTCCCTGGTGATCTGCTGTGTTTTCCCTCCGCAGCAGCAAACCCTCTGCTGTGCTCCACCGCCCGCTACCACTGCAAGAACGGCCTCTGCATTGACAAGAGCTTCATCTGCGATGGGCAGAATAACTGTCAAGATAACAGTGACGAGGAAAGCTGTGAAAGTTCGCAAGGTAGGAGCTTCTTGCGCTCTAAAAAGAGAATCGCAACACACCACCACGGTAACAAGCACTGAAAGGAAGGGAGCAGCTCCCACACACAACAGCTGTGTGAGATTTTCACACGCGACCTCGCGGCCCTTGCACATGGGTCAGTATGTGTGTCTATGTGGTTTTAAGGATAAAGCATCTACCATTTTGGATTCTATATTCAAGTATTGGATATCTGTACTTTTTCTCTTCAACATTGTAACGTGCCCTAGTTGCATTACATACTGTCATGTCGCCTTACTGTCGTTGTGTTGTTGGGACAATCCCCGGCTTGTTTCTTTCCATGGAATTACTTCTTCACAGTACATTCTGAGAGGGGGACACCTGTACGGGTTACAGCTCTCCTTCGCCACACAGCTGTTTGAGTTTTTTGGGGTTTTTTATAGTTTACACTGCTTCTAGCATTATCTGGCCTGTCAGTTTTACTGTAATATCATAGACTATTCTATTTTTCCGTTTTTGCTCATTTCGTCGTCACAGGATGACAGCCTCCCCAAATGCTTTCATTTGCGTCTCTCTGATTATGAACAGAGTAAACATTTCCCCCCTCCTGGTGTGTGTTTACTATTTTGTGTTCTCTCCTGTGAGGGGCCCGCTCCTATCAGAGCTCTTGATTTCAGAGCTGTTTCATGGGAACAGCGTGGAAAGATGAGCTTTCTTAAGGAACCTGGGAAGGACCCAGTAGGGGAAGGTGCTGTCCTCGCCTCTTAGAAATGGCCGCATACATTTCCTTGGTCATAGGCTGTTTTTCAGTAAGCATGTATTTCTTCAGTGATTAGAAAGAAATACAAAAATTTTTAACTGTTCCTTTATGTTAAGGCATCCTAAGGAGTATGTGTTTCTGATGTTATCCATGGGTATCATCGGTATGGAGTCTTTACTTTTTTTACTTAATACTATAGTGCTGTGACTCACTCATATGATTGTTTGTTGGTAGAGTTCATTTGTTTTGACTGTTAATTCAATATCCCAGTGTAGGACCGTACCATAGATTTAGTAAAACTACAAAAATAAAAGCAAGCAAATAATGGCTAACTGGTTAACTCATACCTTGGGAGGTAGGATTGATGGAGAAGCCCCATGTAGTTAACCAGACCCACCACAGTAAAACTGGCCAAAATAAAGACATAGATTCATCACACAGGTATCAAGCCATATTCCTCAACACCTGACCACTGTGGGATGGGAACACCTGTCCCCACTGTGGGATGTGTGGCTGTTAGTTACCTAACAATTCGAAATGCTACCCTTTTGCTTCTCAGACCCCACAGAACCTTCCCAGTAAGCACGATGTTCTGCACAGAGTGAATTCAGTAAGTGCTGAAGGCCAGAAAAGATTTCCTCATGGGGTCTTGTGTTGTCATTACACCATGTTTAATTCACACCCTGAATGGTAGTGTGCCATACACGTTTTTAAGCTAGGTGAGTTCAAATAGCCACAACCTATTAAAAGAAGAAGTAAAATGTTATTGTTGTTTATTATTATTATTTAGAGAGAATAGAAGGTTCTGCCATTCCCTCCGTGGATGTCTGCCCTGCGGTGAGCATGAGATGGGAGACTTAGTTCTACCCTTCCCTAGGCTGGGCTGCGGTCTTGCTCCCCTCATCCCTCGTGAGGTGCATGTATCTCCGTGACTCTGAGTGGTATCTAAGGGCATGCTTTTATCATATTATATGATCTCTCCATGCAGACTCACTACCTGCTAATTTGGGTGCTTGAATAAAGAACATCAGTGCACCAGTGCTGTGGGAACAGTGAGCTGTGCTGGGCTTTAGGGAGATGCAGCTCCATGCAGGGTCCTCCTGAAGAATCTCAGCAGCATCTTGACTGCATTGGGCCACACAGGACGTGGCCCACTGTCATCTTAATAGTAGTAACTGTTTCTTAGGCCCTACAGTGCACCTCTGTACTTGAGCTCATTAGGTCAAAATAATATCCCATCTGTATCCAATAGACTCCTAGCCCTTGAAAAATGCATCTTTGTTCTCAGTTGATATAAGAAAAAAATATACATATATATTATATTATTTTTCTTGGTGGAGTGGAAAAAAACTGATCCTGAGACTGGAAATCCTCTTCATTAGAACAGGGTATTAAAAAACAGTTTTTCTACTTTAAAGGAACCGTCTTTGTATGAGTCTCTCCTCCTTTTCTCCCTTTGTCTGAGATTTAGTTGCACTTTTTATCCTTGGCCTTGATAGCCAACAACACACTCTGTAAGAAATTGGGAGCAAGAACGGGCCTTGAAAGCGCAGTCAATACAGTATCTTTGTATTCCATGTGGGATGGATCAGAGACCAAAGAACACGCTGGTGGAATCAAATTTTAATTGGGGCTTCATTGATTGGAAACATAACCTGTTTACAAGATAATTCCTAAAGGAAGAGGCCTGGAGCAGGCTTTCTGTGGCTTTTCTGTTCCTTAGGCGCTCTCCTTGGGAAGGGCACATCTGACAGCAGGTGCCCTTGTCATGAGTTGGGGGTGGCTGGCACTCAGGTGGCCTTCTGAATGTTGACTGAACGAGGCAGGCAGCATCCGATGAATGATCCTTCCTCCTGGTATTCACGCTTTTGTAGAAGCCCATCTCTGAATGACCTGTAGACCTTATGCCTTACTTGTTTGTGTAAATCTAAAATCTAAAGTCTGTCATCTTAAGTGTTTTTAAGTGAATGGTTCAGTGGTGTTAAGTATATTTACATTGTTGTGCAACTAATCTCCAAAATCTTTTCATTTTGTAAATCTGAAACTCTATACCCATTAAACAATAACTCCCTATGCTCCCTCCCCCCGGCAGCTGACAATCACCATTCTACTTCCGTCTCCAGTAATTTGATAACTCTGGGCACCTCATGTGAGTGGAATCATACAATATTTGTCTTTGTGTGACTGGCTGATTTTACTTACTAGCTTAATATCCTCAAGGCTCATCCACGTTATACCATGCATCAGAATTTCCTTCCTTTTTAAGGCTGAACAATATTCCATAGTGTGGATATACCACAGTTTGCTTATCCATTCATCCATTAGTAGACACTGGGTTGTATCCACCTCTTAGCTATTGTGAATGATGCTGCAGTGAACAGTGATTGGCTATTAGCAAAGAAAATAGAGCAAAAGTGGTAGATGTCGGGTCCAAGATTAGGACTCTCGCATCCTTTGTGCTTCCCTTCTCCTTCTGGGTCTCTCTGATGGAAGCTGCCATGTTGTGAGCTGCCCTGTTCAGAGGCCCACGTGGCCAGGAACTAACGGGGCTCCATCCAAAGCCAGTGAGGAACACTCTTACCAAGAGCCAGGGAGCTGGACCAGAAGAAGATCCTCCCTCAGTCAAACCATGCGGTAGCTGCTGCTCCCGTCGACACCTTGGTTTTGTCCTTGTAAGAGCCCTTGAGCCAGAGCTAAGCCACTCTTGGATTTCTGATCCACAGAAACTGTGACATAATAAGTGATTGATATTTGAAAGCCTCTACATTTGCAGGTAATTTGTCTTGCAGCATTAGAGAACTAACACGCTGATTACCTCGCAAGTGGGCTCCAGTTCTTAATGCTGTAGTCCCTGAGAGCTGACGGTGACGCAGGTCACAGTCATTAGTCAAACCTCGGGAAGATCATGCAGACTTTGGCAAGAATGGCAGACATTTGGAGCACGAACTAGATGTCCATCACCATCATAAGGATTCTTGAATTTCCCCATTCGGTTCTGACAAATTCCTTCTGAGAACAGGTTTTCTTATCACCTCCACTTTTTGGATGAAGAAGCGGAGAGACACAGAGGTTGTTCCTGGGCTGAGTCCTCAAAGGGAGCAGGTGGTGGGTACAGAAGGGAACCGAGGCTGCTGGATGGACGTACGGTCGCATTGCTCACCATCCCACGACACCACCTGTCTGGTAGCTCTGCACTGGGTTCAGGACCTCCGGGCGGTTAGTTGAACTCTAGCTCCTGCAAGCTCACGGGGTAGGCTGAGTGTAGAGACTGGTGCGTTTTACCTCTTTGTACCCCAAATTTTCCTTTCAGCAAAAAGGAATAACGTGCCTGTCTCCTGTCCCACCCCATGAAGAATGCTGGGAAGTTAAGCTCTTCTCAAGAAGCCCCCAGTGCCAGGAGAGTTAATTAAGTGTCCTGGTGATTGGGTTGCGGTGTCTTTATCTTGCTCACTGTATCCCAGTGATAAGGCCTGAGGAGAATTTGAAAAGCTGACTGTGAGCTTTGGCACCTCACTAGAGGCCAACAGTGACATCTGTGTCTCATTTCTTCCGCAGAAGTGTGTGTGTGTGTGTGTGTGTGTGAGAGAGAGAGAGAGAGGCCTTGCCTCCAGAACTGTGAAACAATACATTCCTATGGGTTAAGCCACCCAGTCGGAGGTACTTTGTGACAGTAGTCCTAGCACTACGATAGTCCCTAAGAAGTCACCCTCGAGCTAAGGATGTGCATATACTAACTGCCAGAGCAGAAGCTGGCAGCGGTTCTCAACCCGTGGGTCGCAATCCCTTCGTAAGATTGCCTAACAATGCATTTCTTAGTATGTGCATCTCTGCCATCAAGCAACGCCTGACTGTATTTATCAGTTGCTGCTATGTGCTGGGTACTGTGCCGGGAGACAGAGGGACATACCCAATTGTGTTAAATCTTAAGGTGCTGTTCAGAGTAAGATCCATCCTTCTTTTTTATGTTTGGCTGAGAAGGAAACAATGCTGCCTGTTCCATGACGGCACACTATTGATTTGAAGACATGTCCCAACTTCAACATGTTAAAATGTGAAAGAAAAATGTGCATCTTAGAATTGAAGAGTGGTAATAGCGAACAAGACAAGTGTGATCTCTGCTCTGATGAAACTTAAATTCTGTAGGAAAAAACAGGTGCTGGGTTGGCCCCTGTGAGACATGTGTTGCAAGGGCCAATGCAGGATGCGCTGGGAGGGGTGGGTAGTCCGCAGGTGCTGGGGCTTTACTGAGAAAATGAGGCTG